AAAGCTGTGGCAAATGTGGCAACCTGGGTATTTCCTATGCCCCATTAGACACTGTTCAACACCATAATTTGCCATGCTGCCAACCTGGAGTACTGCCCTGGGAAGGTGTATGTTGGTGTCAGGGACACACGCAGCAGTCTTGAGTCAGAAGTAACCCTACACAAAGGCATTTGTGTCCCCTTAAGTGGCAGGTGGGATTGGAAAGCCTGCTGAGCTGTGATGAAGAGGATGCCCTCTTCCACCACAGCACCTCACAAATGCCAGATGATATCTGAAAGTCTTACAGCATGTGGGTCAGAGACATTTTATGTGCTCCTACCTTAGGCACTGATGGTTTTTCCTTCGTGACAGACGAATCTGGGGGCTGTGGATGCTGCTTTGCCTCCTGAGGGCGGTGATCGGCACACAGATCTCTGTGGTTATACAGTGGCTATAAGGTGTGTAAGCCTGGTAGTAGCATCACTGCAACCAAGAAGTGCTACAGTTGGTCAGGTACTAAGGGTAAGTTGGCAGTGAGACCATTCCCCAGTATCTGTATGGCATCCTGATCATTGACACCAATTAAATAGCTCATCACTGAGCCTTTGGGGCTTATAGGTCTCTCTCTCCCCCTCCACTTCTGTCAACACAGATCTGACAAGCTAGGCTCTTTGCCATCCTTGTGAGATGCCAAGGCCTTGGTTCAGTCATCAGCCTGAAGCTCTTGGGTGCTCAGCCTGTACCTGTGTTCAAATAGGAGTGCAGGCTGCACCCTGCCACTGACCCCATCATGGCCATCTCCTGCTCCATCCCTCCAGGCACCAAACCCGTCCCAAGGAGCCATTTGGGTGCAGCACTCTGCATCTGAGGAGGGTTGCTCCAGCCTAGAGAGAGCCTGCGCTGCCTGCAAAGCTGCTCAGTGTGCCTAATGCCCTCTCAGAGCTGTGCAAACATGATTCAGCTCACCACTCGGCTGGAGGACCCTGCACCTCCAGCTGCATGGGGTGATCTCATACCAGGTATCGCATCCTCCTGGCCTTGCTTAGCTTACGTTTCAACCCAGCTTTTTAAATCAGCATTTCGTGAGCACTGCTGCTAGCCATTTGACACACCATTTTAGAAAGTGCTGAATGACCAGACCTCAGTGGAAAGCGTTGCCACCATTTATTTGGTCAGCAGATTCACACCGAAGACTAAAGCGACGTGAAGTCTTCTCCTACGCAGGAGGAGGAGGAGGTGCTATAGAAACCCTCAAGTGTTAGTGCTGGGCACCTGCCCTGCACTTGCAGCCTGTGCCAGTCCTGCAGCCACACCAGCTGGCCCTGCTCCTGGCCAGGATATTTGGCTGCACCAGCACCTGTGAGCCCTGCCGCCATCGGGACCCGTTGTTGATTCTGTGGCACTAAACCCAGAGGTAACATCACTTTGTTTTGTTCTCTCTTGCTCTCTGTGAACTGCTGCTCAGGGTCCTGCTGTGCTTGGGAGGAGGCAGAGGAGGCTCAGACACTTGGTTTCTGCAGGGCAGTGATGCAGAGGTCCATGCCCTAGGTTGCAATGTCTGAGCCCTTTGGTTTCTGTCCTTACTCCAAGGTATTCTCCAGAATATATCCCAATATTTCCCAATATCTTTACAGCACATTACTTCCTAACAGCAGCTGGGAACTAACTGGAAGCTAAATTCCCAACATGGGGAAACAAGCAATTCCAAAAGATTTCTTTTTTTGTCTAAGTGAACCCTTGCATCCTCATTCAGGGTCTTTCAAAGCAGTTCTGTGGTCAGGATGGCTGCATTACTGTTTTCAAGGGATGCAGACAGATAAGCCTGAAAGAACATAAGTTTCAAAAAAGTAAGAAAATAAAGTGCTGTGCCTTAGATCGCTGTGTCTGAGAGAGCTGTGAACAAGAGCAAGGCTGGAGCAGGCGGTTTCCAGGTTTCTTTATGCTTTTTGGAAACAGAGAGGAAAAGCCTCTCACTTAAGTGCTGTGCCAGGGCCCTTGCCTGGGGCTCTTTGGCCACAGAGGCACTTTGTCTGCTCTCTCTCTGGCCATGCTTCCCTCCCAGCACAGCTTGCTGCCCAACACCCAGCCAGCAGCCCTGCCCAAGTCCATTCTCATACCTATACTGCATATTCATTAAATCTTTGCTGACAGCCATCCATTCAATTTGTAGGAAAGTTGGTGAAAATCGCGGACGTTGCCATGGCAGTGGCAGGTTTGAAGGCAGTTGATGCAGGAAATGCCAAGCTGTACCCCAACCTTCCCACCCCATTTTCCTTCATCCCTTCCCTCCGCTCAGTTCCAGGTCCCTTCCCTCACCCACCCCAGCTGCTGATCAGCTCTCCCTTGTCTATGGTGTGGGGAAAGCAGAACACACTCCATGGTACTGGTGACCTTGTCCATCAAGCCGCAGCCTGTCCCTGGTCCTCCAGCAGCAGCAAAATGCTGTGTTACAGCTGTCTCCATCCTTTTCTTTTCTCAAAGCTGTAGGTTGCTGTCTAGCCCCTCCGATGCTGCAGCCGTCGCATCTACCCCACTTTAACAATTTCCAGCAGCCACAGGATATGCTAGCTTATCACACTGCATCTCAGTAAAGACATTTTCTGCTCAGCCATATCCTATCTGTGCTACATTGCCTGCTTTAAAACCCTCTGATTGTTTCCTCCCTCCTCCCCCAAGTTTCTAGGCTCAAAGCCCCCATGGCAGGGCAGATCACTGATGCTGGGAACAGTGTTTGGGCTACATCTCCAGCTCCAAAAGCAGTTTCAGCCAGAGCCCTTCGCTGCTGCAGAGCACACCAGTATGGTTTGCTTGCATTGTACTTCAATGCAGAGGCTGCTGCTGGCGTTGCAGATCACAGAATATCACAGAATGTCAGGAGTTGGAAGGGACCTGGAAAGCTCCCCCAGTGCAACCCCTGCCAGAGCAGGATCACCAGAGCAGTCACACAGGAACACGGCCAGGGCTTTGGGTGTCTCCACACAAGGAGACTCCACAACCTCTCTGGGCAGCCTGGGCCATGCTCTGCCACCCTCACCCTCACAAAGTTTGGCCTCATCTTCAGCTTGAACCTCCTGTGCTCCAGCTTGGGACCATTGCCCCTTGTCCTGGCATTGGCCATCCCAGAGCAGAGCCTGGCTCCTTCCTCCTGACACTGCCCTTTCCCAATGGATCCCCAGGAATGAGGGCACCCCTCAGTCTCCTCTGCTCCAAGCTCAAGAGCCCCAGCTCCCTCAGCCGCTCCTCAGCAGGAGATGCTCCACTCCCTCCAGCATCTTTGTGGCTGTGCTGGACTCTTTCAAGCAGTTCCTGTCCTTCTTGAACTAAGGTCAACAAAAAGCAACCTGGGCATCAGCCATGCCAGCAAAGACATCTGCCTCGTGCAGTTAGCTACCATAACGACGTGGCAGTTTCAGCCCTTGGTGGAAGGTGTTTTCCTGCTGCTGCTTACCGTAGTGGAGAGAGGATTTCCTCAGGTCTCAGCTGTCAGCTTCCTTCCAGGGTGCAGTCAGTGAGCAGCAAGCCTTGGCTGCGACAGCCAGACCTGAGCATACAAGAACTGGGAGAGAGCTCTACGCAGGAGTCACATTAGTGCCTGCTAGAGCCCAATACATATCCCCCCAGCAACTGAGATGTTTGTGTGTTTATCACTTACTTCAGAACTAAAGTCTGCTTTTGCAGGCAGTGCCCTCACCATCTGACCGCAAGGTCTGAATTGCTTGCAAATAACTGCTTAACAAGGCATCTTCAGTCATGATGTCCCTTGCTACAGCTCTAAAAGCTGTAGGATTTCATGAGCTCCCTCACCACTTCACGCCCCTGTTAGAATGGTAAATAACTTATTTTACGTCAAAAGGTAAAATTCTTTCCAAAGTGCAGTTAGATGCAAGTAGAAATGCAGTGACAGAGGCACAGAATCACCAGTTCAGAGAATTGTTCCATGTGCTCGTCACACAGAGCCACTTTGCACAGGATGGGGTCTGATGAAGGCTGATTTTTATCAGCCTGTGAACTCACACGCTTCACGCAACCAATACTTTTGCGAAACACCTAGCAGCGGATGTGACAAAGACTCAGTACCTACTACGTACCTCTCTTGGAGGCCGGCAGGATGCCTGCCTTGAGCAGGAACCATCTCATGCAGCTCTTAATGGCAAGTTCCTTGTTCTGCACCGGTGCTTCCTCTTTCAGGTATGTCTTTCTGCTTTCCATCTGCAGTCTCGTACTCTCTCCTGGAACGAATGGGCTCAAAATCAGAATAACCGTTCCACCCCACCATTCCCCTCCCAAGGAGGTGGAGGGCAGCATGCCTCACTCACTTCCTTAGGATTTCAAGCATGTCTTTGGGATTCAGAAACTCAGATTCTGCTCTGTTTTCCTCCAGCTTTGCAAAGCAGCCCAAAGGCTTAGAAACCTGCTCAGTTCGAGCTAGAGCATGAGGATACTTATGAAGAGACATCTGCAATACCCTTCATCACCCTACTCTGCCTCCTAAGCCAGCAGAACTGGTAGAAGAGCTTTTGCTTATGGGGTACGCTGGGCTTTAGCTTTGGTGCTGCAATCCCTGTCCTAGCTCAAAACCAAGCTAAGGGCACTTTTACTTCATTTGCACAGCCTGGCTTAAGGAATTAGTGTTCACATTGTCACAGGATGCCACTGCTATCTATGCGGGCTCTTCTAAGTGTTATTCCACCCCCACACCCCTCTTCCCCATAAGATGGCCTCTATAAGATGCCCTTATTTCCTAAAGGCTGTCTGCCATGTCCTATTGGAAGTGTACCTTGTGATATTTACCCATAAACTGAGTCAATATAAAGCAAGCTTGACAAAGGATGCATCCCAGTCTCATGCTGAGAAGGCCATCTTTGTAGGCTCAAATTCACACTCATTACAAAGTAAATATTTACTTAAATGCCCTTTTTTAATAGGAGCCATACATGTACTGAGAGGTAGTAGGAAAGTCTCACCATATCTTTTCCCATTTCAGGTCTCAGAACATCACACAACACCTACACAACAGGACTATGGATGTGTCCAACAACTGCAGCGTCGCAGATCTAGAAGTGTTTTACCACGTTCGTCTCATTGAATTTGCTCTGTACATCCTAATTTTCTTTTTGGGAGCGCTGTTTAATGTTCTTGCCCTCTGGGTGTTCTTCTGCAAGATGAAGAAGTGGACAGAAACCAGAGTTTATGTAGTCAATTTAGTCGTTGCAGACTGCTTCGTCATCTGCATTTTGCCTTTCAAGGCTTATTTGCTCTGGCATAAGTCAACCCGGGACGAACTCTGCCAGTTTATAGAGGCAGTGTATTTCATCAACATGGTAGTGAGCATCTACATAATTTCATTTATCTCCATCGATCGGTACATTGCCATAAAGCATCCCTTGAAAGCCAGGACCTTCAGGACTGTGTCAAAGGCTGCCTTTCTCTGTGGGCTCCTGTGGGTCTCCGTGATAATCGGTGCCACCATACAGCTTCGGCAGAGACACGCTGCTTTCTGCTTTCAGAAGGACACCACCGCATCTGCTGCTCTGAATTTGCTTTCCATTTTCTTCATTTTCACTCTTCCATTAGCAACCTTGACTTTTTGCTCCGCAGAAGTCATCAGGAACCTTAAGAGGCATCTGAACACAAATCCACCAGAGGAAAAACTATTCCAGAAGGCTGTTTACGTTATTTATGCAAATCTGATTGTGTTTCTAATATGTTTTCTGCCAGCTTACCTTGGGCTACTTGCCAGGTTCATAATGGACAATGTTGGAGCTACCTGTTTTCTGATTCAGGTTATGAAGAACTTCTCCTCTGTGACCAAGTGTGTTGCCACGTCCAACTGCTGCCTTGATAGCGTCTGCTACTACTTTGTGACCAAGGAGTTCCATGAAGCCCTTCTGCTGCCCAAACCCAGCACTGCAAAAACAGATCAAACCCACTCCTTCCAGACACACACTTGCTAAAGGAAGCTGGGTGGGTGGGGGAGAAGAAAAAACACCAAACTCAAAACCCATCACGATAACTCAGTAGCATCAAGAGAAGATACAGCTGCAGTGATAGTGGGACAGCCATTGCCCTTTCTACCGAGGGAAATCTTCATTAGGTTTAGCATTACTGAGTTAATTGGCATTTATACTCCGTGCTTCTATTAAACAAATACATTATTTCACAATGTGTAAAGGGGTGTATGTATTTGCTGGTCTTTAACATGTCTCCATGTCAACCACCGGCACCTACTTGTTACTGGTGACCCATGTACGTCTCCCTGTTTTAGTTCGTTTTGCAGCTGAAGTCAATTAATCTTTATTGCCAACTCGCACAAAAGATTGTGTTGTGTTTTACCTCATTGTGTATTTCAGGTTGTCTGCATTATTAAAATAATCCAGTTAATTTTGATCATATTCCTTTGGTGGGCCGGGAAGGGTTCAGACGGTACCAGCTTGGTAATAAGTACCCAGCCCTACAAAACAGCTTAGACTCTGCTGACTGCCCTTCTCCTTCAAATCAGTGGGTCAGACAGATGTGAAGGAATGCTCTTTGGGTGAAAGCAAGACTTCTCCAGTGCCATAAAGGCACAAAGTCCAGGAGGTTTCAGAGCCAAGTCCTCCTGCCAGCTCCCCTCCTGCTGCACTGGCACAGAGTCACTCCCTTACAGTGGCCATCCCCGGGGTCCTGCTGCTCCCACTCCTGAGGAGACCCTTTGAGCTCTGTTTAGGCTTTGGCTGCCCATGCATTATGGGTTTACGTTGTGGCACCAGGTGAGGGTCAGTATATCACACCCCAGTTGAACCCCACAGCTGGACACAGCTGGCTCTGAGCTTCCACAGCTGCCCACACTGACACCCCTAAAGATCCCATGGGTGAAGCGCTTTTGTCCATGAGTCAGCAGCCTAGAAAAGTTAGGCAAGATGGGGAGTGGGTTGACCCTGTACATGCTGTTCAAACGCTCCTAGGGACTGGGATTTCTTCTTTCTAAATACTGAAATATCTCCAAAATGGCCTCCAAGGCAATACTCAGAGTGCTCCAGGAGACAGTACGGAGCAGCTTTCCCTGCCCACTCATGCATTTTCCCCTGTAACCTACTTGTGCCTTCAGAGAGCCCACAGTGGCTGCTCCATCTGCCGTTGTCACCTTTGGGACTGCATCTGGAGACATGAATTAATAGGACAAATCCTGAAGGACCCAGAGCCTGGCTCCCATCAGCTGGCTCACATAGATGGGACTGCAAATGCTGCAGCCAGCAAAAGCTGTCAAAATGACTATAAAATACCACTGGAGCACATTCATAAACATGTTTGTAAAGGTCCTGGCACTTATGGCATGCTCATTGGCATCTGGGGCTTGCCCATGCCCAGTTGGCAGTGACTGTCATTACCAGTACGGGCTTTCCAGTGATGGTGATGAGCAGTGGTAGATTCCTGGCTACTTCAGAGGATGAGCAGGCCCATATGTCGGTCACCTTTCTTGTAAAGACATCAAAGAGAAGCACACAGGGTCCCCTCAACCTTGGCTCACTATCATGGGGTGCACAAGGACTGACATGCCCCTATGTAAGGGTCATTGGAGTCCATGCTGCTGCCTGCCTGGGTCACGCTCTGCAACCACACTGCAGACTGCGTGGACTGCCATGCTCCCTGGGGGATCTTTTGCTGCCAGAAGGGCAATTTGCAACCATTATGGGCTTTATTTCAGAAATTATCTGTTTTCCCACCACTGAAAATATTAAATTTTAATTGCTAGTTTGTGTGAGGTGAGTGGGGGAAGCGCAGACTGGGTGGAAAAAAAAGATGGGAAAGCACTGAACTGATGTGAGCAGAACAACAGAGGGCACCAGAGATTCGATCATCCCAAAAAGTAGGTGCTAATGAAACACTTGGGGAAGCAGAGTTCGCTGCTGTGTTTGAGCAGTCCGGAGCTGTCAACAGCAGGCTCTCAGGCAGCTGCGCCCTGCACAGAGCAGCACCCTGCGCTGGCACCCCCAGCCCTGACAGATCCCCTGCCAGGACACCCACAGCCACACCGCAACCTTTCTGAGGACTAAACCCACCCGACGGCCTCACAAGAAACAGGTAATGTCTTTTAATTCTTCCCACACCGGTGCTCTGCTCTGTACTTTAGGGTGTGAAGTACTTTCTCATCTCCTACCTTGGAGCGCTAGCCGAGGCTGCCTGCTGTCGATCCTCAGCTTTACACAGATGCCTCTGTGTCCTCCTGCTTTCACAGCTGTTATGCCTCACTATTTTTGTCGCTCAGGGGGGGTCTTCATCCCTCGCTGCAGTTTCACACCAGTGCTTCTTAGTGTGCCTCTTCTGTGAGCCTGGATGCACCCAGGCACGGGACCTCGGGAACCATCACTGGCTCCGTGCTGATGTGGAGGATTCAGTAGGGCTGGGATGCCCAGCCCAGTGCGCTCAGCTGCTCCTCAGGGCAGGGCTATGCATGCAGAGAGTGGCTTTTTCACCGCAGGATGACCACAGTAGCTTAAGGGGAATGGTTGCCGGGTAGGTGGTACCACAGTGCGTCCAAGAACCTGTGAGGCTGAAAGCCCAAGAGAGTCAGGACACTGGCTGTACCTTAGTTCCTCCATAAATTTCACCCTAAAAACGACCATAGCGCTGTGGTTCAATAAAACAAAACCAGTTCTGGTGCCAGGGAAGGTGCTGTGCTTTCCTCCATGGTTGTCAGATCCATCTCCCAGTTTCAGACAATACAAACTGTTCACTTAGTTCATGCAATCAGACATTTTCACTACAGTTTAGATGTTGATGCTTAGAAGCCACTGACTTATAAGGCAATGTATTTGTAAGAGTTTGTAGGAATCTGGGCATTTTCCTCTCCTGTCTCTCTGTAAACACTTCCTTTATGAGCTACACAGTAAGCGTGACTCATTCTGTGCAGCCTCTTTGCTGGTAGCAGATGCCCTGACACATTTAAAGGAGTATTGGCAGTCTAATCTAAGTTCTGAGATTCATGTTTTCCGTTCTAGCAAAATTTTGGCTTCCTAACTTTGGGGGCTGAGATCAGACAGGCATGCTCACTTTCCCTTCTCTCTTTGGTGATCTGTCATCTGCTGGGGCTGGTGGCACCCGTGCTGAGCTATTCCTCCCCAGCATCCCGCAGTGAGAGGAGCAGGTTGGTGCTTGAGGGCAGCCTGTCCGCAGCAGGCACCCACCCACCAGCCTGCAGCAGCATTTCCCGGGAATGAAGCCACCTGAGCTGCTGGAAAGTGAAGTGTAGATTCGCAGGGCCGGCAAGACCCAGAGCAAACCTACAGAGTGGCTTCCACTGCAAAGCAAGGGCCTTGGAGGTCAAAAGGGGAATTGCTGCCCAGCTCTGCTTTGGACTGCCTTAAAGCCAGTGACTCTCTGATAACCTCAGCAGCAGCAAAGATAAGGGACCACAAAAACTGTCGTTCCGCTTTGCAGACGCCTTGCTGTTTCCTAAATGGTGCAAACCAGGACTGCATGGAGGGCAAGACAGGCTTAACCCTGCAATAGCTGCAAGAGAGGGTTGCCTCTGCGTTTTTGTGATAGCCAGTGGCGAGTGACAGCGTTACTCTGATGGCTGAGGGACAGACGGTGCTGATGAGCCACAGAGCCTCCCGAGGGGCCACCTACATATGTGATACAGGGGCACAAAGGGCCGCAGAGCCACGAGAGCAGGGGCACTGCAGCAAGACCTTGCCCAGAGGACCTGTCCCCACGCTCGGTCTCATATCTGTGCCCTATTCTTGCAGAGACGACACAACATGGAGAACTGCACCGCGGAGAACTGCACCGCAGACGAAGATGACGTTCTGCAGAGTGGCATCATGCTATTTCAACTGCTCGTCTACATCCCAGTGCTCTCTTTGGGGATCCCACTGAACATGATCGCCTTCTGGGTCTTCTGCTACAAGCTCAAGAGGTGGACCGAGACCAGGGTGTACATGATCAACCTCATGGTCGCAGATAGTTTCCTGCTCGTTGCCCTGCCCTTCCTGATATATTTTACCAAGTATGAGCACCCCATAGACAACCTGTGTTTCACCATACAGAACATGTATTTTACAAACATGCCTATGAGCATCCTCATCATCACCCTGATTGCGATGGATCGATACATTGCAATCAAGTTCCCTCTAAAAGCAAAGATTCTTCGATCTCCACTGAAATCAGCTTCTGTCTGTGGCTTTCTTTGGGTAACACTGATAATTTATTCCTCTTTGCGTCCAAGATTTCGTAACAAAAAGGATAAAGTCTGCTTTCGGAGACAAACTATTCAACTTAATTATTCACTGTTATTCTCCATTATCTTTGAGTATTTTATTCCCTTAGGGATAGTGATTTTTTGCTCAGTACAAGTCATCAGATGTCTCAAAAAGAAGATGGCCATGGGCTCTCATGAGACAAAGCTAATCCAGAAAGCAATCCACATTGTTTCTGTGAATTTGTGTGTATTCATTGTATGTTTTTCACCCTTCTACATCACACTGATGTTGCGGTTTGTAATTGATTTTACTGGAACTAGTTCTCTGCTCTCGGAAGTTAGAGCCTCTATTCAGATCTGTGCATGCTTAGCTAATTCCAACTGCTGTTTGGATGCATTTTGCTATTACTTTGCAGCCAAGGAATTTCATGAATTTCATTCTCTGTTCCCCCCTTGTATATCAATCAGGTTCAAGACGAACCAAAGCCAAGAGTCTCAGCCACGCACAGATCAAGTCATGATGTAAAAAAGGTGTGGGGCACTATAGGTGTTGAGAGCTACAGTGCTGCTCAAGCTGCAAGGCAGAGGGAATGGGACCACCTACAGTATTTGCAATCACTGTAGGTATAGGCATACCTGCAAAGACGGGCAACCCCCTCCAAGTGGTCTGATATTAGCTTGAATTTTGCCCTGCTGTTCTCAGTGACTTGACTCCAGCTCTGCCTGTTGTCTTCAATTCTTTTATCGCAGCTTCAGGTGTCTCCCGGTCACGATAGCCATGTGGTATGGAGAACAGATGATAAGGCCATTTCCACCGTGTGCTTATTTGTACACATCATGCAGCTAAACATAGGAATCTGAACCCTTACAGCAGTACACAAATCCGCTTCTAGTACTGTAATATATACGGTCACTAAAAACCAAGAAAAAACCCCTGTACTACAATGCCAAACCTAATACATCTGTGCTGCTCACATCAAAGAATTGGCCCATACAGTGGTAGTTTCCTGCAACCTATATAATTTTGAAGCCTGCAGCTACCACCAGCTATCGTGCATTGAGTAAACTGCAGGAGTCAGACAGTGACATGAGACTATTGCCCCTTCCTGCCATATGATACTTGTATTAGCTCGTGGCAATGCTCTGGCATTTGTGAGACTAAAATGATTGTGGGTATAAATAAAACCACTACTGCATGGAATACCTGAGCTATGCAAAGCGTTGTGGACCACAGCACAGACCCTTCGCATATCAAGTCTAAAGCTGGGAAGTACCGGTCTCATTGGAGCAACTGCTGCAAACCCTGGTGACAGTTGTGGTGGTGTACTGTAATGAGATCGAATCTTCAATGGGTGTCACATCTGGTGATCGCATCTGCCCGAGTTATCACAGCTTCTCACTGGAGGAACATTGCCCAGAAAGCAGTAGCGAGCAACGCCAAGCAGATGCAGCCCTGGTCTTTCCCTCCATATCCATAAACAGTTTTCAGGGGAGGTTTGATCCAGGTGGGGTTTTTAAGGCCCTTCTGCAGAGATGAGGCAGACAGATGGCATTGTCTTACATGATGAAGAACTGCTTTGGGTTTGGGCTTTTTTTCTCCAAATTCCTCTGTGCTTGCTGCCTATGCACAACGTATCCTCCCAGCCCACAGGGCAGCAACAACAGAGCAGCCCAAAGCAGTATAAGCTACAGAGGAAGGTCTTGGGGCACCAGAAGCAAGCATCCCATAGAGAAACCTGAGCTGGGGGGGGCCAGTGCCAGGGCATGACTACTTCATGTTTATTTGCATAGAAATGTTATCTAACATTTTTTCATATAGTCAGTTAAGTAACTTTAAGTCAGCATTGGAAACACTGTAGGGTTTATGAAATGTATGTGATAGCTGTATCTTGGTTGGCTTCATGGTCCTTGATTTTCAGTGTCTTCTGACTTGTAAACCCCTAAAAAATTTAAACCTACAGACAATTAACCTTCTTAGTGACAACTTACAAATAGTTCCCCTACAAGTAGCCTGTCGCTTTCTAGTGTTTGCAGACCACATGCTGAAACCACTGACTAGACATTGGCCAAACTACATAGGAAACTACTCTTCCCATCACAGAAAGTCCTCTCCATACAAACATTAGATCTACCTGCTTTCTGTCAATCCTTTGCAGAGGTCTCTGACACAACGGAAGCTGCAGTAGGCAAGTGCGGCATAAAATGGATGCAGCTACTGAGGTCATTTAGTTGATCATTTATGTTCCAATTTTCTTTGATGTTTTATTTAATGCTTTATGGGTAATCCCACTACAAGCAAAGCAAATGGGCCACGTATGTACGTGACCCACTTAATCATTGCAACTGTTGTTTGGCCCTCATTCTGCCTTTTAAAGTCTCTTTTTAAAGACAGGAAAAGATAAAGACAAATAGTGCCTGATCTTAAAAACCATCTATTGCTTAAGGAGACGCACGAATGCTGTCACCCTTGCAGTTGTCCACAGATACGTTGCAATTAACTATCCTCAGAGAGGAAGAGGTCCAGGGTCCCCATTAGCCCATTCTCCCTATGGTCTGTTGTCATGTCCAGTCAAGGAAGAGACTTCTGTTGCACAAACAGCACAGAGGGCCTTCAAAACCACTTTTGGCTCTGGGATTCCCTTGTAGGATTTTGCACCTCATTGGTTATAGCAAATGCCTGTTCCCATTAGACTATTATGAAAATGTTTATTATTTTTAAAAAAGATGAGGGTTGATGCACACCAACCTCTTAGCCTACTGTCAATCCAGAAAGCAAACAACTTTTTTGGCAAACCCAGTCATGTCCATGTTTTCTCTCTGTTGACAGGAGGCACCTTGTCCAATTTAAAATGGGCTCCAATTAGGTCACCTACTCTCAAATAAAAACCGGCAATGATTTTGTGCATATGGCCTCACATATAGGCCTCACAGTATAGCAAATGCTAACAGCTGCCAAGATGCCATTTACTTCTATTTTGCAATCGAAGCTCTGAAGAGCACTTTCTTCTTCCACAAGCTGATAGTTTCTAAGCCAAGGAAGGCTCACAGACGAGGCACTCTGTTAAACTAAACAGCTGCCATGGTGTCACCCCAGGCAGCAACGAAGCACCACAACGCCGCTTGCTCACTGCCTGCCACTGCCAACAGCTTACCAAAAACCTTGAAGTTAACATTCTTACACACACTCAAGCTTACTGCATATAGAGCTGCATGAAGTGAATGGTTTCGTCTTGCAGGAAGCAAACTGAGGTCTCCCACCGTACATGTTCTAAATTAAAAAAATTAAGTGTTCATTTTTCTTACTGTAAAGTGAGGATTTGTTGACTTTACAATCCCTGTCATCATTGAGTCATACCTTTTGTTGTTTGTACTGAATGCTACAAAAACAAAAAAGGAAATGCAAGTTCCGCAAGTGAATCCAAAGCTGTTTTGTATCTATACATCTATTTATATAAATAGAAATATTCATTTATTACCATTATACATCAGACTCCTCTATTATCAATACTAAACCCACACTGGAGATTGAGAGAGGAGACTTAGCTACCATGATATAAGATCTGCCTTACAACAGGGTATTTATAGTGCAACCCAAAGATAAGTGAGGAACTTTCTGATTACCTGAAAATGTATGGGATACCTTGGACAAAAATTATTATCTGGTTTACGTGTCAAGTTAAAATGATGTTTACGATGGGTTTCTGACATCTTTCTTCAGTCTGAACAAAACCTCAGCTCCCTGAGTGCTCCCAGTAAATAGAAAAGATGAATTACCAGCACATGGGCCACATACAACACTGGGATAGCAATCCATGAGGACAGTGACATGGTTATCCACAAATCATTCCCATTTCCTAGCACAAGAGTCTGGTTACCAATAGTGAGGAGCAGCGTCCATCAGCTGCACCAACAGGCAGGGCTCAACCACTGCATTCTGCTGACATTTAAGCAATAGATAATCTCTTTTCCCATCAAAAGAAAAAGATGCTAACAATAGCTTAAACTTCAAATAAGCACATTGATGCTGCAATCAAACTTTAGGCTTAAGAAAAAAGCAAAAACCAAAAACAATGCAAGGAAAAGCCTACAAAGTAATTCAGAATCTTGCTTCTAAGCGAGCAGCCATCAGTTTTAGTATTTTTGCTAAAAGGCAGGAAAGGCAGGAGCTGGCATAACACAGTATTTGGCTGTTTGGTGGCGTTTGGGCAGGCCTGAAATCTGAGCTCTCATCAGAGCGTTGGGCTCCAGCAGCACTCCCCTTCCATGGCTGAAGGGCCCATATCAGAGTTCTGCATCTCAGCAACTCAGGTGCTGCTTTCAGGTTTTGGCAGAATCTCTGTATTTTTGGCTTCCCAGTGCAGCACAACCGTCCCAACGGCGAGGCAACCTGCAGGGGACTCTGCAAGCACCGGAGCAGCAGCAGGTAGCCACAAAGCTCAGGCTTTGCCATGCCCTCCCTGAAACCTTAGCACAACACCACACAGCCAACCCCTTCAGTGCTGATGCTGCAGGAGCACGGGGGGAACAACAGTACTGATAGCCCTGCGAGCACGTTATCTGCCATGGTTCAGTTCCTGTGTAGTGCTAAGGAAGGGGAAAGGGGAAACAGTCTTAACAGCCAGAGCTGGTCACTGTTTGAGGTTGATGCACTTAGCCTGACACTGCCATTTCACAGGCTTTCCATGCTAAAAATAAGTCTGACATGTTCTGCTCTCAACCCAGTAGTTCTGTTTTGGTCAAGATCTGCTGTTGCAACATCACATCTTCCCATGAGAAAGCCAAGGAAAAAACCACACGGGGCAGAGGCATTGCAGAACCCAAATGTCACAAGGTAGCACAGTGTCCTGTGTCCCCCTCGCACACGTGGGGATGGTACCAGTGCCCCTCTCACCTTGCCAGAGGCCCTGTCCCGTTGTGATTTGCTGTAGCCAGCACAGCAGAGTCTCTGGGAGGCAGAGGAGACCAAGATCTTCCCTGGCAGGGAATGAGGCAGGAGCCCATCAAATCCGAGCTGTCCTATTAGCAGTCTGTACCAGGAGCAGAGGAAAAGGAGAGAAGAGGAGTTCTTCATGAGAAGGGCTGGGAAACAACCTCAAGAAGGACATCAGGCAGAGCTTACAAGGGAAAGAAAATGACTCTGCAGAACAGAAATAAGTCTTAAGAGACCAAGAAGTGCAAAGATCAAAGGGGTCTTAGCAAATTCTTCCTTTAGATATTAAAAGTTACAAATTACAAGGAAAGAAGTGAGATCACTCAGTACTGCTGCTGACAGAAATAACAAAATTGTCCAGGTTTTTCCTGACAACTACCCAATTACTTTGTCACAGCTTTCAGTAAGGATGAGGAACCTAAGAAGTCCAGAATTTTAAAGGAATTGGCACATGAAGTCTCAAATCAGCAACAAGGCTTTTAAATAAGTCAGCCAAAATAGGATTGGGGGATAGAGACCAATAAACACATTCTCTTCTCTAGGATAGGGAAAGAAAGAGAAGGAGCTGATAGTAACAGCCCTACTATGCTCAGATCTGAAAAATGTGCAGGTTCCCAACACGTCTGAATAACATTAAATGGAAAGGAACAAAGAGAAAGGCAAAAGTTAAGTGGTTCTTCACCTTACAGGACTATTTTGCCTCACTGGCTTCTTTCACAAAGAAAATCGCTTTTCCAGCCAAGGTGTTGTAGACACTGGTGTCAGCAAAAGGTCCTCTGGAGCACACTGGGAGCAATAATGAACCTTGTACAGGCACTGGTACTCAGTGGTGCCATAGGTCCCCAGACTACCCTGCCTGAGAGCTGCCAGCAAGGAAGTGAGAAAACAGCACGATTGTCATCTGTGCTGCGCCACATGGTGACAGCACTGCCCAGGCTGAGGCTGCGGAGGCAGGGGAAATTACCAAGGAAGCATCGTTGGTCCACGGCAGAGGTGATAAAATCTGCGACTGGATGGAAGAAGGGGGCCGTAAGCAGCTGCAAGTGTGTACAGGGTGACTGGTGAAGAGTCAAGTTGGAGAAGCATGAAGATTCTGAACCAGCAGTGTTCAGGAATTAGACAGGGACCCAAGAGCCATACCTGGAGACATGTAAGTTCTCTGCAGATAGCTTTGTCTACTGGTAGCTGGTGTTGAGTTGCTCTGACATATTCTGGTGAACCTGCTGATCACAGCCAGCTGCTTTGTGCCTGATGTCAGGGTTTGTCCCTCTCTTAAAGCCTCGCTGGGCTGATGGAGACGTAGCTATGGCTTGCTGGCCTTGTCTGGCCACCACAGCAACAACCTGTGGGTGGGAAGCATCACACTGGAGAAATGCTATGAGCTGAGCTCCCTCCAGGCTCGATTTTGACTGCTCATGATTAATACCAGTAATGACTGCCTTGGCAGAGACAATAGAAATGTGTGGATAACACTTGAGGATGATGCAACGTGAAGTGTTTTCTGAACAGTGGTGAAATTGTCACAACCCAGGAGCCAGATGACTTTGAAAACTAAAATACTAACAAGGACCATGACATGAAAATGGTGGTGGTTGGGGATCAATGAGCTGGGTGTACTAATAAGCCAGCAACTATTTATAAGCATCCACCGAGAAGCAGCCACAAGAACGGCAAAAGCAGTCTCTGAAAGCTCAGTAGTAGTATTTAAGCTAAGATCTACACTGACTATAAACTGACAAGGAATTAATCTCAATGGCTGGTTTGTAATGTGCAGACAGACAATGCAGAAATACTCCCAAGACAGCTCCAAGATGACCTGGAAAGTGGGAAGGGGAAATGTGTTTGTCCAACACGGCAATAACAGCCGGACCTCTGAGCTTGATGACCAACTTGTCTGAATTCCTGTAAATGGGTCAGAATGGGCAGCCAGGGAGGAGCCCCTGGCCAGCAGACGTCTGCAGCCACAGAGCGGTCACAAAGTCAGCAGGTCACAGGGTCACGGTGACACATTTTCTCAGAATTGCTGTCTGATGAGAACTATGGAAGGTGAGAGAATTACTATGATTCAGAGTGAAACCCAGTTATAATAATCACAAAAGTGCCTGTAAGCCACAGCCCTCACTTCTCCAACAGCTCTGTGAATGGGGCTGGGGGCCTGCTGGGGCTCAGCAGTGTGACAGCAGGTGGCAGTCCCAGCGCCAGCA